TTTTCATTCAGCTAATTCAATTTCTAGGGAATTTATCCCAAAGAAAAAATGACCTCCCCAACCATAAAGATAGCATCCTTTATAAAAAATAAAATAAAAGAAGGTGGAAACAACTTAAATGTCCATAAAGATTGGTAAACTATATAAAAGTACACTCATCACATTACACATTTGAAATTCTAAGCAGCAAATCAAAAGAGGCATATTTATAGATACTGACCTGGAAAGATAATCACAAATATTGTTTATTAAAAAAACAAGTTAGAGAATTATAGGTGGTGTATGATCCCTTTGGCAGCATAAATGGACTCTGTTTATGTTAATGTATAAGAAAAAAAGTCTGAAAGGACAGACACCAAACTACCTTCAAAGGTGAAGAGAAGATGTAAACTTATGTTGTGTATGCTTTAGGATTGTTGGAAATTTTTGCAGCAAGCAAATAATATTTGGAAGAGAAACTAACAAATATATTACTAGACTCCTTTAAAAAACTCACAAAATCCTATCATAGACAAGCCTTCTAGTTTGGGTAAATACAGGAAATGGACTGGCTGACATATATTTATATGTTCATTTATATATATGTAAATAAACAGGACCCACAGTCACTACCTCCAAGAAAGACAACACAAGCACTTGGGGTGGAAAGAAAAACAAATCACTCATTGATTTCCTGCTACAACCCTGTAATGATGCTACCTTCAAATGCAAAGTATCACCAATGGATACAGAGAACATGGCTATACAGAGGCAATCAATCTTTTTCTTACAAGGCCAGACCTACATTTATGAGAAAAACAACTGGTATACCATATCCTGTTGTGTGTAATGCCAGACTTCGGATATCAAAGCAATATTCTCCAGCCTATAGAATGCCCAACTTGTGAGATCTCATATGCAGAAATGACACCTCTTGCTGCATCCAATAATACTAGGAAGGAAATTTGGAAATCAATATGGAAAGTGTTGAGCTCAAGGGACATCCAAGGCAAGTAGCAGCACAAAAAGGATCGTGAAAAACTTTTTGAGTTCACAAAGAAAGAGCAGTTTGAGCAAGATTTTAAAGGATGAGTAGAAATTCACAGGTAAACAAAATGTGGAAAGATCCTATGGGCATGGGAAAGGTATAAGCAAAGGCAGTAGATGAATATGTTAAGAAAACTTGGGAACAATAGTATCCACTCAGGCGATGCAATCAGGACTGACATAGTTTACAGCAAATTGGAGAATCATAAAAAAAAAATTACACAAGCATATCTAACCCATTTCAACTTAACTTTAATCCCAACAGACTTTAAATCATATCTATGCACTTCTCCACCTTCAAAAAATTTTTGAATTCTTCACATGGCTCAAAATTCAAAATATAAAAACAGAAAAAGTGCAAAGTAAAAAGTCTCTCTCCCACCTGTGTTCCCCATCTGCCAATGTCCTCCTGCCCCACCAAGTAATTATTGTTCGTTTTCCCTGTATTCTTTTGTAGTTTCTTAATGCATTTACAAAGATAAATATACATATAGAGTATATTCTAATGCTCTACTTTTACACACAATATAACATGCTATACATTTCCCCCTCCCTAAGAGTTTAGTCTTTTAGATCAGCACTGATAGAGCATAGATTCCTGCCATGCAGATGGTTCTGGAAAAGGCTCAGTAATTGATGCTTGATGGAAAATCTACCTGTGTGAATAGGACAGGTCCTGGGCAGGAGGGGGTTAAGGAGAGTGTGCGAGAAATCACGGTGAGATCTAGCTGATGATCAAAACAGAGATTTGCAAAAAGATACATCCAAGGGCTCAGCATCTCAAAGCACAACATCACATGGCACCAAGCAATATAAAATAAAGTACCACTAGGAAGGTGGGATGTAGAGTTTAAATGGATGGATAATCCTAGTAAGTCCTTTAGGGAAGTCCTATTGGGAAGGTCCAACCTTTTAATAAGTAATGCCTCAGTGTCTGGTCTAGGGTTGGAGGTTAGACTTCAGGATTTTGAAAGTTCTGCTTCTTGCATGATGCTTTTAAAACTGTACTTGGTGAGATCAGCAGCCTGGTGACCTGAGACAATTTGTAAGCTCAGCGACCAATGTTCATGTACTGTGTCCTAGGCCAGCCCAACAGTGGGAGAAGACACAATATTATGCCCCTTGAGATGAGGCAGGAGTTGGGGTGGTGGTGAATGAGACTGAGGCCTCTTAAGTAGTTCATGATTTGAACTTGGCCTGGTGTAAGGCTGGGAATTGAACATTCAGTGTGGAATAGAAGCTAGAGAGAGAGAGAAAAGGGAGAAATGATGGAAGTGGGAAGGGAAGTAGAGGTATATCACCTCTCCAGGTGGCCAACCACCTAGGAAACATGAAAAATAAAAATGTTAGAAAATGTGTGTGGTTTTTTTCCTCTTTGCCATTTCAATAAAATGCTTGTCAAATTGAATTGTTATTCTTATTGACTAAACTAGAATATCCAGGCAGGAATTTGGAAAATGCTCCACCTTGACAACTACAAGATTAACTGGGCAATGAGAAACTGGCAAAGGTGGTTGAGGTAGAAACATCTCTGAGGTGTTTTGATAATTTGTCAGCCTGAAGGAATGTGAAAGGAATTTTAACAACATGTTAAACAAATATAACAACATAAAATGTATAGAACAAATGTAGAGAGTGAACAAATTCTGATTGTCCAAGGAAAGGCAAATTGCTTAACTTTAATACAAATACATAATTTAACATTCATTTAAATAAATAGATATAACTTAGAGGCTAGATCAGCTCAGGAATCTTAAGAATTTGTGGCCTTCTACATGGGAAAGACTCAAAGGGTGTTCCTGATATAAGTGCCTAGTAGACCTGCTGAATCTCACAGGAAATGACAGGCTCATTGTGGAGAGTGGACTAAGAGAAGGGTGCTTTTGAAAGTATGGGAGCTACCCTGGCACTCACAGTAGGCACGAACTACCCAGAATCTAAGAAGAGTTAACATTAGTTTCCCAATAGTTCTGGCCATGCTGGTGGCGTGTGGATCTTGCACTTCTGAGAATGGTCCAGGTAGACCTCTCAGCCATGATCTCAACAGACATAAAGATGAGCACACATCAATAGGGGTGATGGGGTCTGTCCTACAGCCTCTTCCTTTCAGTCCTAGTAGAATATGCAAATGAGAAAGATCAAGAGAGCTGGAGGCCAGAGAGCCCAGTGTGAAGGAGGGATGATGGAGGGGGAGAAAGGGGAGAGAGAGAGAGAGAGAGAGAGAGAGAGAGAGAGAGAGAGAGAGAGAGAGAGAGAGAGAGAGAAGGAGACAACAGGCAGAGCCAGAAGAGGACCCCGGAGCCAGCTCTTCCTGCTGTGATATTTGACCATTTCTGAATGGGAAGGCAAGGTATAGGTATGCCTGGCTGACCCGTTTCAGGTGACACTTGGAGACACTGTAGCTAGAATGACATTCTGCCTGTGTTTGCTCCCTTCTTCGAGTTCCTGCCCTACTTCTATCTGCTCTGGCTCCACCTACACTGGGTTCCCTGTCCACCTGCTTCTGGCTCCAATCCTGTGCCTTTACCACCGGTACCAACTGGCCTCCTTCCTTCTCCCTGCCAGTCTTCATAGCACTGACTCTGGCTTAGCCTGGCGGCCTCTCCAGGGCTCTTCAACTACATCCTGGGAGAGCGAGCCAGGGTTAAGGGACTATGTCTAGATGGGATATTAGTACCGTGAAAAAAACACAGCCACTGTTAGGCTACAAACTAAAGGAAAGGGCACCGCAGACCCCTCATTGCCATCCCTCTCAGGGAATTTAGTTTGGCCCCAAGTCTAAATGCTACCATCAGTTGTTACCTGGTCTTCAGTAAATATTATAGGATACTTAATGGCATGTTACTCGAAGAATTATTTTTATTTTAAGTTATTAAAGGGAAATGTGGGAGACAACTTAAAACTCTACCTGAGGCCAGTAATTATACTTATCAGGTGTTTTTCTAGTTACAAACTATTTCTTAAAAAGAAAGAAATACAAAATGCGAAACCAATTTGACAGTGAGAATAAATTACAGTACGCCAGGTTATTTATATTTTTAATTTAATTTTTTAATTTTAACATTTTATACAATTTAACTTTATATTTCTGGCTCTCTGATTGATGTTTCACTATTGTGAGTTAGGAAGCATTCTCTGTTGAATTTTCCCTACACAATTTGGCATGTTCTAATATAAAATATAAGCTAATAATCTCATCATGTCCATTTTTCTTACTGTTTTTCATCAGCTTGGGGAGAGCACTTCTTTTAAACCAATATAATTAAGTCAGAATTTGCTATGCAAACATCTAGATATTAAGAAGTAAACTACTGTCCTGGATAGTATAGTTCTATGGTTAGAGTGTCAACTCTTGCACCAAAGGTTCATGGGTTTGATTCCCAGTCAAGAGTACATACCTTGGTTGCAGGTCTGATCCCCAGCCCCAGGTGGGACATGTGCAGGAGGCAACCAGTTGAGCTTTCTCTCTCTCTCTCTCTCTCTCTCTCTCTCTCTCTCTCTCTCTCAGCCTCCCTCCCTTCCATTTCCACTCTCTCTAAAAAGACAATAAAAAAAATATCTTCGGGTGAGGATTCACAACAACAAAAAGAAGAAATAACACTGATATAACCACAATTCTAAATGCCTTACAATAGGAAGTAGTAAAAATGCTTTTCATGGGAAAGAACCACTAATTCCAACGATTGATGCCATCCTACTTTGTATAGCTTCTAATTAAAGCACAGCCTGTATAAAAGGAAAAAGGCAAGAAAAGGTGACCGTGACAACGAGGAAGAACACCTGAAGACAGCAAAGAGCAAAGATTCAAACTCATCCCTTCAGATGCCTTATCTATTATCATGGGGCTTTGATATGATGTATTTTTACCACTCTTTTTAAATATGTGTTTTTCAATAAGACAGAGGTTTACTTCAGTATTTTAATTCATTAACGTGTTTATTCCCAGATGCCAAATGTTGAAAATGAAGCCTTACCTTTTTAAGCAATCTGGACTCTGCAGATAGAGGACCAGGCACCTCACTGGTCGTGTGAAAGAACTGGGATTCCCCACCGTGCGATGTAAACTCATGGTGTTCTTGAGCCACCTGTCCTTCATCTACTGTGCCCAAAGCTCTGTAAAGAGTGGAGACACAGTTATGTCAATAACCCATCTAGAACGTTGAAAACTCAAGAAACCCAAAGACATATTTCTTCGTGTATACAGCTGACCCTGGAACAACACAGTTTGAACTAATATGAAGATTTTTTTCATTATGGTTGGCCCTCTATACCCGTGGGATTTGCATCCATGGATTCAGCCAACCGCCAATCAAAAGCAGTGATTTTCATCATCACTTGGGAGTCTGGGGATGCGGAGAGCCAATTGTAAGCACTATTCGATGTCACTTTATATAAGGAACTTAAGTATCTATGAATTCTGATATCCAAAAGAAATCCTGGAATCAATGCCCCAGGGATTCTGAGGTCCAACTGTAGTTAAGTTTTCAGGGAATCAAAAGTTATATGTGAATTTTCGAGTGCACCGAGGCCAGTCTCCCTAATCCCTATATTGTTCAAGTGTCAACTGAATTTCCAATCAGTCGGAATTAGGAATCATTCTTCAAAACTTACACAGAATTATAGATAATTTGGTTCTCTCACAACACATTTATAAACAAACCTTGATGACTTCACCATGTGGCTAACAGAATTCTTTTTTTTTTTTAAACAGAATTCTTTTAAATCCAATGCAGAAAACAAATTAGGCATAAATAGGTAAATAATAAGAGAGAGGCAAATTTTGACATGAAAGCAATCCAATTTAATTTTATGATTTCTTGGTTGTTCTATTATTGACTTTAGCCTCAGCATGTTGAATACAGGAAGTCTGCAGCCCTTCTGATTTGGGGGATAAACCAACAAGACAGCATGCTATCCAAAGTCAGTTCCATATGCTAGGGGTGATGATGAAAGGTAGGTTTTGTTACTCAACCAACTGAAAAAGGGGCGGGGCGGGGGGGGGAGGGGACACAATTACAGGTAGTCCAGGGAAGGTCCTTGCTTCACCCCATAATTCTGAAACAGGAAATGCTGAGTGTTGTGGTACAGCCAATAACTTCTGACCTCCCTTGGGGGGAGGGGGGGAACAGGAGGAGGAAGTGGTGGCTGATGTTCCTTTCCTCCTGACCCAGATCCAGGCAGTGTAGCTGCGCACCTAGTCAACAGGTGCCATTTATGCAAAGTCGGCTGCAGGAGTCGGTAGGGAGGGCAAGAAAGTCCACGGGAGGGCTGAGCGGGCTTCTCACAGGCAGAGCTTGACTTCAGGGTAGCTTCTCACCCACCCCCCAGATGTGCAGGCCAGCCAGGAGCATTTTCTAGCTCCTCTCTAGTGTCGGACACAGAACTCCTACTCATAGCAAACTTGTTGCACAAGTCCATCTATTGAAGCACAATCTTCACAAAACATTATACAGAATCAATAGGCCCAGAATCATGCTGAGTTAACATTTAAAACAGTATCTAGCATTCATTCTTTCAGAAGGCATCTGTAGATCTCCTACTAGATGCCTACATCAAAGTACATAGGGGAGAGCAAACCCACTCCCTGTCCTCAAGGACACGAAGGTCTTGTAGACATAAAGGCCCATTAAGGGGGCAGCAATATTTTTCATTCTGAATAATAGTTTCCTGCTGGGGTTCTTTTCCCAGCCTTACAAAGGGTTCAGCATTCTAGAGAAATGGGCTGCGCATAGATGATTAAAGAGTCCGGAGAAGAAAGATAATTTTGAAGGCATTGGGGGTCAGAGGATCTTCAGCAGAAAGAGCTAGAAGACTCCTTCCTTGTCTAGGACCCCATGCTTTTATTTAACACAATTTGTCCTAAGGTAAGGTGGAGACAATACACTTCAAAGGGTAGAGTATCAAAGGATATACAGAAGCATTGTCAGTTTGGTGTTCAACTGTTCAGGTGTTTGGCCAACAGGAGGCAATAAAATGCCTGAGCTGTCTGGCAACAGCTCAGGTTTGGGGGAAGTGCCCTTTAGCCATTTCCAACAGGTAAACTACATATGTGGCTCACCCTTGTTGAGCCTCCCAAGACCCATCAACCTTTTGATGGAACTCTTGTAATTATTACATGCTGGAATTAATTCCCGGCAGTTTCCTATGGATCGAGACATAGATAACTCTTCCTTGCCTAAAAACCAACCTTCATAAGTGTTTGTAAAAGGAAAAGCCAATTGGAAAGTTTAATTTGTCTTTTCCAAGGAGTAAATTTTAGTTGAACTCCCAATGAGTAGGCTATAGGTGGTCCTAAGAAAGGCTAAGCTTGAGGAGAGAAATTTAAGATTTATAAATGGAAAAACAGTTTCCTTTGTGAATAATCACTACTGGCCTTTTATTAAGAACAATACCTCTTGGTATAAAAACAAACAAACAAACAAACAAACAAATAAATAAAACAAAATAAAATCCCCTGAACACTACCTACTGGTCTGGAGTTTTAGCAGAGGATAACTTATTAATTTGCTAATTATAACCTGTACTTTCCATTTTCTGTGGGGGGAGAGAGGGATTTTTTTTTGTTTTTGTTTGTTTGTTTTTCGTTAGCACAGATAGTATGCTGCCAAAAGTGGGAGTTCCAGTGAAGTACTTTCTTTTCTCAGACTCATAAATAAGTGAAAATTGGCCTGCTCATTTTGCTAAGCTCTTTTTATTTGGCTTGCTTCTAAAAACCAGATCGTCCTTCTCCCTGGAGATTAAATGGGTAGAAAATTAATAATGGCAAGATTGTGTACCCTTTCCAACGTTTAAAAGAGCCACATGGCTATTTTCAGACAATCCCATGCTTTGTGGGGCCTGAAGGTTACATAATTTGGGTGGCCCTCTTCAAGAAAAAGCAAACAAAATACCATGCTTTTTCAGAATTTATAGCACTAGGGCCTCTCCTGAGGCATTGGGAGTGGCCCTCAAAGCTTAAGCTTTTTTTGCTTCCTATAAACCCACCTAGGTTTCCTCTTTTGGTCTATTCCCTCAGGGTGTCCCTCCAGCGTTTCTATATGTGTAGCCCAAAGATGCAGCCACTTAGGTGAGTGTCTTTATCTAATTGTTCTTGGTTCAGAGATAACATACTTGTAATATAGTAAAATGTAACACCAAAGTCGGTTTAGGGTTAACTATAGGGTATAAATTAAGGCTATACTGCCACCTATTGTCAACTCAAAGAATTATTAGTATACTCTAATCATTGGAGCTGTGATTTGAAAGTTACCAAAGATGTCTTCATCCGCACTGAATTATTTTCTCAAGAGGGCTTAAAACACCAGATATTAAAACCACTCTTCTGAATTAAGGCAGTGGTTGTAAGGCTACATAAGTTTACTGTCCACGAAGAAGGGAGAAAATGTAATTCACACACAAAAAAACAAAACAAAACAAAACAAAACAAAACAAAACAAAAAATAACCCTGGTAGTATGTGTAGTATTTCTTTGCTGCAGCTACTGGATGGGTAGAGAGTCACCATTTTCTGAGCAATGTCTGTCCCCCTAACATTGGATCCTGAATAAAATTGTAGACGTACATCATTAGATCAATCCAGGTCTGGAAAGGCCCATAGTAATTACCTGGTACAGATATGAAGACACGTTGGCTCTGAAAAATTATGAGACCGACAGAGTTTATAACTGGCTGGCTCTCCATGTGCATGGAAGGGGAAGCCAGGCATCTATGCTCCGACTCACAGAGAGGCATACAATGACAGTGTGACAATAGAGCACTGTAAGTCTGTTCTGTTTCCAGAAACACACAGATACACAAACACAAATCTATGTCCCTTGGAAAATCAAGGGTTCCCAATTTATAGAATTCTTTTTCAGAAGCAATGTTGTAGTCACATTTATATTTTTCTTGGCTGAATGAGAGAGAAAATATGGCAATGGGATACCTACAGGTTTCAGAGTCATACCAGCCTGGCCATTAGCTATCCATTCTTGGGCTAATTACTTAACTTCTCTGAGCCTCACTTTCCTCAGCTGCAAAATGGGGATTATAATCAGATTGTGTGAGGATTTAATTAGGTAACACTCCTAAAACACACTGGTACATACCAGGTGCTCAGTAAGTATCAGCTATTTTAACTATGTATATGGATGCTAGCTGACATTTCTTGGATAATAATTTACTAGATATAAGTTGTTTGACTAGCAAGAAGCAGGTTCAACTATGAGGTGATATGGAAATGAGAATGCCTGAGTTGGAAGATACCTTAGAGATAACCTAATGACCCAGCCATCTGATCCTATATAATAAAACCCTAATATGCAAAACGACCAATCGGAGGAACGACCAGTTGCTATGATGAACACTGACCAACTGAGGGCAGATGCTCAACACAGGAGCTGCCCCCTGATGGTCAGTGCTCTTCCACAGGGGGAGTGCCACTCAGCCAGAAGCCAGGCTCACGGCTGGTGGCTGGCCAGTGCAGCGGTGGTGGTGGGAGTCTCTCCTGATGCTGCTGCAATGATAAGGACCCCTCAGGGGATGTCCATCAAGGGGTCCTGGACTGTGAGAGGGCATAGGTCCAGCTGAGAGACACACACCCAGCGCTCCCCCGCCCTCCCCAAGTGCATGAATGTCATACACTGGGCCTCTAGTTTTGCAGATAAGCTTATTAAAGCCCAGGAAATTCATCATTCAAAGTCACAGGGCTAATTAATGGCAGAGTAGGAGGTAGAAAGCCCACCTGATTCCTAGTTCAGAGACTCATTTCAAATTCTCTGCAGATGAGTTTCATAATTAGAAAATGCCCTTAGGTGGAGAAATAAATAAAATTCTCAATGCTCATTCAAGTTTTAAAAATCCAAAACATTTTTATAATTTTATCTATAAGGAATACTTACTACAATACATCATTAATACAGGTAGTATTTAGTAGCAGCAAATGGTTAATAGTTTCTAATAGTAACTCTGCCATCTAGTGGTTGCACAAGAGCATAGATCCTTTTCAGTAATGGTTTTGTGAAAAGTAACACTGATGCCATTGGCCTGATTGCCTCCATCTTTCCAAGCTTCTTGATTTGTGTGTGTGTGTGTGTGTGTGTGTGTGTGTGTTTAAGTAAGAAAGATATTTACTGT